ATTTTAGCTATTAATTATGGTATTACTAATTCTCATAGATGAAGACGATGGAAAAAGAAAAGAAAAGAAAGAGACCACTTGGAAAGGATGAAGGAGATAGAGAACTAATCGCCGGAAGATGAAGAAGATAGAGAACCGAAAAAAGAAGTAGGAATCTGGGAAGGATATTCGACGGACAATAAAATCGGTAGTTACAATTAAGCCCTAATTTACCTTATCACAACAAGATTTAAAAAAAGAAACAATTAAATATTAGAAAACGTATATATGCAAATATTTTGTGCATATTTTTTAAATCTGCTAATAAAAACAAATCTTGGTAGATGTGTAAATATTTTTGAATCCATTCGTACCTGGTATAATAATCTCATCTATAAAATCCAGGATTTGATCTAGTCATGGAAGGCCCATGACTTATAGTAGCATCTATATTTAGGCCAGTTTTGAGGTTCATGATTACATATTGTTTCCATCGGAAGTGAGCTTGGTTACAAAATGGCTCTTTTACACATACTAGTACAGAGCCCGTGCGATGCACGGGGTGCACAATTTTAAGGCTATTTATCCAGGATTATAATATTATACATGAATAAAGAAAAATGTACGAGATATATATAGTACGTGACTCGTGCAAAGCACGAGATATATTTATTTGGAGAATATTATATTATAAGATGCAATATTCAATAAAAGTTTATAATACGCAAGAAAATTGTACAATGTTCAATAAAAGTTTTATAATATTCAAGTGGAGTCTTAAAGTCTCTTGTACATTAAGACTACTGATAAAATAATATTTTAATCAATGAGTTTCCTTTCCTTGTAGTCAAATTGTGAATGTGATTTGAGGAGTACAACAAATCGATATATAGCTGACTTGCTTTTTACATTGTAGTTTTTTTCTTTTTTCTTTTTTATAATGAATTTAAAGATATTCTAAAATATAGCAAAAATTAATTTTTTATTACAATTAGGAATTATACTAAATATAAACTCTCAATCTATGGTGTTAATCAACGTTTAAGTCTAAAAAATTAGGAATTTTTACCTCTTTTAATCAACGTTTAAGTCTAAAAAATAATAGAGTTGTTATAAGTTTTTTTTCTACATCTTTTAAAAGATTAAATATGAGCATGTTAGGGCTAGCTTGTAAAATAATTAATATATTATCTCACTAAAATATTTATACTAATAAAAATTTAATTTTAGCATATAAATTTATCCCTTGATATAAGAGAAAGTAACAGTTTTACTTATTGTTGTCCACCATATAATATTTAATTATTATTTTATTATATAATAAAAAAGAAATATTGTTAAATAGTGTAGTAGAATTGTTATAAAATTATATAATTTTTTTTTTACAATATGTATTTAATATTTTGTTATGATTTGATAATATAAACAAATCTATACTTAAATTTGACAAATAAAATAAATAAATACTTTAGTAAGTATTTAATGTATATACTAAATAAGAATATATTTGGTATAATCAAATACCAAATATAATCAAATAAGTCAAAGTGTACATTTTTATTTGGTATTTGATTTTTTTATTATTAAAATCTTTTTATTATACTTACCTTCTTAAAATAAAACAAATAAATAAATCAATTAAATAAATAAAATATTATAATATCAAAATAGTAATGACATTTAATGCAATTGACTTTTCTGGATAATAAATGTAGTAAATAGAATCTCCTTTTATATAAGTATAGATATAATATTATATTATGTTACTCAAAATAGTAATGCATTTATTGCATTGACTTTTCAACTTACTAAATTTCATAAATGGTACACCTTATTATATAAGTATAGATTATAGCTAAGGCTTAATAATTGCACATTTCATACTTGTAAAACTTATTGCATATTTACGCAAGATAAAATTAATAATTAGAGATGCACACATAAAAATTAAGGCAATAATAATAATAATAATAATAATAATAATAATAATAATAATAACATTCCTTATTAACCCACTCCTCAAACCCAAAGCAACCATGAATTTAGTGTTATTCAGAGTAACCACCACCGACGCCGGTCTCAGCCACTCACAACTGTGGTCGGTCAAAAACCTGCGGCTCAGGCAGATCTTTACACAACAATTCTCACATGTGGTGGTGTTTGAGAATGTTAACACCCGTCGGCACCTCGAGATGGGGCAAGTTGGTTTCTTTTTCTTCCTCGCGTCGCACTGACTCGACTTCTCTTGCCTCTCCAAAACCTTCTTTTCATCCTCACCATCGCGTTCCATAGTCTCGATCACGGAGGAGCAGAACTCGCACACCCGGACCTTCTGGCTGCCGATGTCAGAGTTGGAGCAGCAGTGCGATCACTGCAATCGAATTAATTTTGTGGTATATGTATGCATACGGGCATCGATGATAACTCAATCTGATTCAAAATTAAACCTAGTCCCAATAATTGTATGTATAAGTATATATATAAATATTTTGGGCGATTGAAGTAGCTTTGCTAATAAATATTATTCAAGTACATATACAGTATTTTATGATTTGATTTTTTTTTTCTAGACGATAGAGATTCATTCAACTAAAAACAAGATGCAACTCGGGAGACGAGTATCTCCAATAGTTCAAGAAAATACATAGAGACCATCCACAATTTAAACTCCCAACTACAAACTCAAACCAAACCAAACAAACAAATAAAGCTGCAGGCAGAACTCCTTGGTCCCTATAGCTACACTAATATTGTCTACTAACTGAAGGACCAAGAAACACAATAGCCAAACAACAAGAGAAACAAATACATCACAAAGTAAAAGCTACCACTTAACCAAAGGAACTGACAACCACCACCTTCTTCACTGATCATCTCTTAATGCCCTGCACTTTGTGAACTCCATCCAGTCCCATGAGCTGCAGTGAGCTCTGCATGATCCGACATCCATATATTTTTAAATTTCCATAGATTTTGGGATTTTCATAACCATCAGAGAATATAGGTAGTTAGTTTAATCCTGGCCTCTGAAATCCTTCTTGTGTCTACAGAGCAAACATTCCACCACCATTGCTAGAAAGTACTTGCAGCAGCTATCTCATTCCAACAAATCGGGGCTAACTTCCGAATCCTTTGAGCTCTACAACACTGAAACAAGACATGTTCCAATGACTCCAACTCCTCACCACACTCTTTGCACCTTGGATCAACATCTAATCCCATCTTCTCAATCAAATCTTCAACCCAAGTCACTCTGCTAACTCTAACACCATCCCTATCAGGCAGCCCATCATCATAATCATGAATCCAAGGGTCATTCCAAATGTTAATATGTCTTCCATTTCTCACCTCCACTTTAAAAAACTGTTTGAACTTATCCCTCACCAACAGCCAATTGCATCACAGCCAAGAAGCATTACAGGGTTTCTTTGCTTGCAGCACATAACAATTAGAAAAATATTTCCCTTTCAGAACTTTAGTAACCAACAGATTGGGATTAGTGACTAACCTCTAGAGTTGTTTAAGAATGAGTGCCTCATTGAACAATTTCACATCTTTAAAGCCCAATCCTCCCACTTCTTTTGGTAAAGTGAACATCTTCCATTCTTTCCAATGCACTCTTGCTTGTTGCTCCCCCTTACTCCACCAAAATCCAGGTGATAATCTTGCAATTTCCTTGCAAATGCCCTTTGGTAAACTAAAGTAGGACATAGAGAACACAAGAAGAGATCCCAACACTACTTTAAGAAATACCTTTTTACCAGCACAAGACAAATACTTATTGTTCCAACTAACCAATCTGGATCTAACAGCATTTATCAAAAAACTCAAAAGAATCCTTTTTAGATCTACCAATACCTATGGGCACCCCTAGATACCTAGTAGAAGTATGAACAAGAATTCCACCAAAAAGCTGATAAATCAAAGCCTGCTGAACAGGTAGAGTGTTTTTACTAAAAAATATAAAGGATTTTTCCAAATTAACGTTCTGATAGAGTGATAGGTAGAGTGCTGATACTTAGTGAGCAAATTTAACATAATCTGAGCATGGGATTCATCAGCCTCACTAAGCACCAGGGTGTCATCAACAAACATTAAGTGAAACGTAGAGTCCAAACCTTTAAAACTACCCTTCCCCACCTCAGTTCGCAATAATTCAGAGATAACCTCAGAAATTAAGATATGTAAAGGGACAGAGGGTCCCCTTGTCTGATCCCTCTTGAAGAAGTGATAAATCCTCTAACTTCCCCACTCAAATTGAAAGAGAAAGAGGCATAATAAATACAAGCCCAAACTCAATTCACAAATTTAGCATGAAACCCCATTTTCAACATCACTTTCCTCAATCACTCTTACCCTACCCTGACATATGCTTTTTCCATATCGAATTTGAGCATCATAAAACCCTTCCTCCAGATCTATGATTGTTCAAGAAATGAATAGCCTCATAAGCTATCACCACATTCCAGAAGCTGCCTTCTAGGAAACAAGGCAGCTTGATTTTCACTCACACAACCAGACAAGCAAGGTTTGAGTCTGGAAGTCAGAATTTTAGAAATAACTCTAAGAAAAACCACACAAACTGATAGGTCTATATTGTTTCAGGGAAGAAGGATCTAAGAATTTTAGAACTAAAGAAATCAAGGTGTAATTCCAACTCTTAAGCAATTTACCAGACTCAAATAAACTAAAAACAGCATTACAGAAGTCCACTCTAATCATAGTCCAAACTTTTGAAAGAAAAGAGGACTCATACCATCTTGGCCAGGTACTTTTCTAGGATCAAGGCTGAACAAGGTTTCTTTGATGTCCTCTTCTATGACTGAGGATATGAGATTTGCATTTAAAGCTGAGGAGATAAATGTTGGAATCTACTGCAAAAGTTCTGCATCCCCCATTGTTCCCCAGTGCTAGAGAGTTGCTCATATAAACTACAAATGTGCTTTTGGACCTCTTCCTTCTTGTCCCACACCTGATTTTCCTCATCCACTAATCTGGTAATAGCATTCAATCTCCTCCTTTGATTAGCTAAAGCATGAAAAAACCTTGTATTAGAGTCCCCTTCTTAGATCCACTGAGCCCTAGCTTTCTGTGCTCAATAATCCTCCTCTTATTTTGTAACTATATCAAGCTCTATTCTCAACCTTTCCTAATCCCTCCAATCTCTTTTAGTTTCCAAAGTACTCAACACTTCTAACTTCTCAGTAATTACCTTATTTTCCTAAACTTGGTCACTTTTGAAAGAAGCACTCCATTTAAGAAAAGCCAATCTTGTAGCTTTAATCTTCTCTGACACTTGCTCCATTTGAGAAAAGCCAATCTTGTAGCTTTAATCTTCCCCCAACATCTCCCACTTCCAACTCAATACAAAACTGATTACTAAATATCTGGTTCACCATCACTTCTCTACTCCATAGAATTAATAATCCCCCCCCTTAACCATTGAGGATCCACTACAAACCATCTTCTATTGAAACCAATTTTATTGCAAACTGACTTAACAAAAAAAATTTGTTTCTCAAAGAAAGACAAAATTTGGATGGTGGAGTCTTGTGGACTCCTTAATTTGGGCAACTATAGACGGTCCACCCAACCATGTACAGTTCCACATGAAAAGCTTTATTGATCAACTGGGGGCCACTCTGAGCTGGCCACCCCAACCTTAATCAGACTATTCTTTAGCTTTTTCCCTCATCTTGTTCCTTTTGCCCTTCCTTTCTCTTCTACCTACTCAATTATTGCTGTTCTCTTTCTCCTCCTTGTCAAATGCCCTGTTTGATATGGAAATAGATTAATCTAGCTCATATTCAAACTTCTTAATGCATTGGTTGTTCTCTTCCAACTTTTTTTTTTTTTTTCTCNGATCTCCATTCTCTTCCTGATGCTCATATATCTCATTCAAATTAAGATTCAGTGCCTCAGTCTCCATTGCAGTAACATTATCTCACTCTCCCCCCTAAGCAACTCAGCATTTTCTATGGATGTAGAAGTTCTTTAATCTTTACCTACATTTTCTTGAACTCTACTCCCTGCTGATTTGTTACCTGGATCTCCTTCCCTGTTCTCTTGATTTGTTTCAGGGACTTGATTAGGTGATTCTGTAGATTGACTCCCTGGGCTGAAAGCAAAATTTTATTTAAACCCTAAATTTCCATCCAAAGCCCTCAACCAATCCCCATATTGTCCTTCATTCAGAACCCCTCTATATATAACTTCAACTCTCTTGCTACAAGATCTTTCTAAATGACCAATAATCCCATAATAAAAGCAAGTATTTACCAACTTTTCGTACTGAAATCGAGCCATAACCTGTGTGTTATTCAATTTTAACGATTTAGAAGGGATTGAGTCCAATCTACCTTTAAATAATGATATATATGTATATATATATATATATATATATATATTATTTCATTGAAATAGAAACTGTAATTCCACTTCAAACTTTTGAAATTACTAAACTTGTTAGTTTTTTTATAATTTTTTTTTCAAAAAAATGCCGCATCTAAAAATTAATTAATAGTGTTGTCAAAATTAATAAATTTGATTTTTGTATAAAGAGAACGATTTTATTTGAGGTATTTTTATGGCTACTTTTATTTATGGTACGAAATATGTTGTTATTAATAAATGTAAGAATTTATTGTATAAAGTGAGCGAATTTATTTTGTTATGAAATGTTCGAATTTAAATGGTATGAAATTATTTGATATGGATAGAATTGTATTCAAAAAATTTAAAAATAAAGTAAGTGGCATAAATTTTATTTGGTATAGGTATGACATTCGAATTTTAGGATTATTTGTTATAAAATTAAGGTGAATGATTCACAAATTTTAACATAATTTTATAATAATTGATTAATAAAATTTAAATGATAAGGTCTTTCAAAAAATATTGATTAATTTAAATAATTAATTAAATTCAAGACCTTTGAACAAATATTGATTAATAAAATTTAAAATTTGTAATTTAATTCTAGAGAATTAGTTGATAAATTTGAATGATAATGTAACTAACAATAAATCTAAAAATTGTGAGAACTGTGTACGTAGTACAAATTTGAGTTCCAAATTTAAATGTCAAATTAGTAATTATTTATAACTTACGAATCAATATTAACTTAGACGTAAATGGAGGAGTCAATTCTATATAGTTTAATAAATTATTCAACTACTTAAATTTTTTGATTTGGATAGCGTATACAAAAATAAATTCATATTAATTAATGAACCAATATAAGTTTTATAATTATACTTATTATTCACATTCACATAGAAATTTAAATATACGATATTTTTTTTTCTTATCAAAATAGTTATTTTATAGGATCCCATTGTGGTCACATTTATTTTAAAATGAATATGATGTAATTAATCATAGTTAAGTGCACTGTACGGGTTGGGTACTAATAATAAATTGATACGTTTTATATAATTTTGCACAATTTAAATTTTATATAACATTTTCAGTAAATTATTATTGATAAATTGTATTACATGTTGATTCCGCATTTTTAATTTATTGATATTATTTAATGAGAATTTTAAATTTATAAATATTAATAATCATCCTTTACCCGTATATCGCATGTGACAATATAACTAAACTTGATAAATTTAAGCAGGCCATCTCATAAATGTGGAGGCTCTGGCAATTCTTTCTGGAGTCGCCAGTAATAGTATTTTTATAATTTTTAATCTTTTAATTAAACAATAATAGTAAACATTGTCAATAATAAATAAAAAATGACATAAATATGAGAAAAATAAATAAATTAAAATAACAAAAACTCACAATCCTCTCTATAGACATCGAAAATTTAATATTTTATTAATTAGTGTCTTTATTTAATTTTGGATATAAATCCAAGATAAATAAGATATTTAATTAATAAAGTAAATATTTCTTGTCCACCAAGTCAAAACTTAGGATAAAGAAATAGATTATGACAAATCTTAGGATAAGGAAAGAGATTATATCAAATCATAAAGGATCAATCAAATTGATGTCTTCTTCTCCAAGACTCTCTCTCCTACACCTATAAATAGGGCTCTCCTCAATGCCAAAAATCACACCTCAAATCAACACCTCAAACACCAACACCTCATAAATCAAAGTATCAATTCAAAGAGCTATCAATAATTCTCTTGAAGATTCAAAGGTGTTCTCGAAGATCCACGACATTCAAGTTAAAGATCCAAGAAGAGAAGAATCCAATGAGATTGTAACCTCAATATTGTTTGATCGAAATATATTCAAGTTGTACAAAAGTTTTATGCTTTTTAAAAAATTTGTTTTTACACTCTCATCGGTCGAAACCGAACCGAATCGAAAATTTGGTTTGTCCAGTATAAAAACCGAAACCCGAACCGAAATTTACGGTTCGGTTCGGTTTCAAACTGAAAATTTTGCGGTTTGATCGGTTCGGTTATCGGTTATCCAATAAAATAAAAAATGACAAATATAAAATCTATAATTTGTGAGTAACAATTTATAAAAATAACAATAGTTACTATGTACTTAATAATTTTATGAAAACAAACTAAAATGCATAAAAAAAAATTAACTTGTCCCGAAATACAAATTTATCAATTTTCATAAATCATCATTAGACTTCAAATAATATATTGTTAGGTATCATTGTTTTTGTCTCAAGCAATGACAGTTTTTTTATTTATTTATTTATTTATTTATTTTTTTTTTTTCTCTCTCTCTCTCTCTCTCTAAAATGAGGCTTACGAGAGCCGCGTGCTATGGAAAATTTCTGGGAATTGTGAGTTTAGAAATTTCTGCCTCAATTGAATAGATGAGAGATGTGTTGGGTCATCCATTTCCATTGAATGAGATTGGGCCTGCCAAGTGCCAAGGTAGGCCTAGTCTTGGCTTGTAGCTAGGCTTTTGTTTAGTTAAATAATATGCTATTATACATTTATATTGGGTTTTTATAGCTTTTATTATAATATCGATTTTCAGTTCGGTTCGGTTAACCGAGCAATTATATTTAAATCGAATCGAAAACCGAATTTTTAAAAAAGTGTAAACCGAAAATCGAATCAAATATTCGGTTTCGGTTTCTGTTCGATCGATTAACCATATTTTATGCACCCCTAGTGCATATATCAATTAAATCACTATAATTAAGTTTCAAAATCTTTGTTTTCTCTTAATGAGTAACATCGTCAGACAGTAGATGCATAGTTGAGCGAACATAATTCTTTTATAAACTTCAACTTGGAAAGACTTATTTCAGCAGATGCAAACAAAGATGAACAATACTAAATTATAAATCAAATGCATATTTAAAAAGTTAGTAAGTTTCAAAGGCAAAATCATATCCTAACATGTATCTTGAAAATATGAAGTCTATGTTTGGTAAAATTAGCTGATAGCTGATAAACTAGCTTGTTTATAAGTGATTACGAGCTTATAGTTTATAGCTTATGACTTTGAGTTGAAAAGTTAGCTTATATGATAAAAATGTTTGATAAAATTAGCTGATAATCAAGTTGTAATAAAAATTTCAACGAATTTATTTAAAAAAGTTAACCAAATAAACCTATGCGATAAATTTGAGCATTTTTTTTTTTAAAAAAAATTGTCGTACGTACCAAACGAAACTTATATGAATATAAAAAGCGTATAACCTAACAAAACAAATTATAAACTAGCTTATTTTGCTACTAAAATACCGGAGAGTGGTTGATAGCCACGGCTATCTACATGCAATATTCATCATATATATTTATATAACCACTAATTATTTTAGCACCTGGAAACTACTAATCACTTTAATCATGATGAGTACAAAGTTGGACTAAACAATAATTTTACAGTGTTGATAATTTCAAAAATTGCAAATCAACGTACAGTTAAAATAACCAAATCACGCGCCGTACGTGAACCAATATATATATAATTTTCTCCGGTTCCCCTTAAGATAAAGAAAATCAAATAAATTAATTAAGAACAAAAATTTACAAAAAACTCGGAATTAGCTAGATTTTATTAAAAAAGACGGGTCTCCGTAACTTACGGCGCTGCCGGCGCCAAACTAAGGTGCAGATCGAGCCCAAAGGCGTCATCAAAACTGGGCCCATCCTCCCCTGTAGAGAACCTGCTTAGGGAAGGCCCATCAAGCCTCGCGCTATGGGCCATAACGGACTGCTGAGGCCCATAGGAATTGGCGTCGAGGAACGGGGGCGGCGCGGGGGAGGCTCGGGGCACGTAGATCCACGAAGGCGCGAGTAGGTGGGGCGGAGGGGCAAAGGCTGAGGCCATTGGGTTACGCATGGCGAAGCGCGTGGCCTGCATCTGGGCCCGCTTAAGCTGCTGCCGCTCTTTTTTGTGGGCGTTTTGATGGCCGCCAAGTGCCTGGGAGTTGGCGAACTCGCGGCAGCAGTACTGGCACTCGTACTTGCGGGATTCCGAGGGAGACTCGTGCTCGCTCACGTTGAACCCGAACAGCTTCAATGATTTGTTTTGGTGCTCACCCATCATCTACATATATATATATATATATATATATATATGTATATCTACCTAATAGCTACACAGATGTCGATCAGTGTGTGTTTTGTTTGGGTGTGAGAATTGAGAGGTATTTATAACAAATAAGTCCTTGTCTTGTGGGAAGACAAGTGAGAGATGGTTGCGGAGAGAAGGAAGTTTTTCTAAGTGTAAAACTGGGACAACACAAGACATACGTGGGACCCAATGGGGATTACTGATTAGACTTGCCTTTTTCATCATCATCCACCTTCATATTTTTTTCTTTTTCTTCTTGAATAATTTACTATATTTTTTAAACATTTCGTGGAATTAAATTATGAGCAAGGGTAGTACGTGTATTTAATGATGTATATATATACAGAATTTTATTTTATATGGTGTAATGTGGGTGTCATTAATTTGTTCAACATATAAATGGACAATATCTTTATATGTCACATTTTGTATAGTTTTGTATACAAATTACAATCTACACGGCTTGTAATATTCTTAAAATATTCGATATATATATACACATGAATGTGATGCATCATGCATGCATTGTTTAATGAAGTAATACATTGTAACTATTCAACGTGTATTTTGGCCATCTAGTATACATTGTTTTGATATATACACATGAATGTTTAATGAAGTAATACATTGTTTTGACCAACGTTGGCATCCCCCACTCTGTCCGTGCTTTATTTCTCAAGGACTGGTCTTCACGACGGGTTGCAACTGGGGGGTGACGTGAGTTGTGGTTGGATGTTGATTAAAGTGGTCTCTTTGCGTTGAAGGCTTTTTTGGGGTTGAGGATCTCATATATAAATAGTCGTAGTCAATTTGGAGTGAGGAGTTTTTAGACTGTATTCTTGGCTGAGGGCAGACTCTTCTATATAGGTTTCTTTGATTTGTTGGCTTGTGAGGATGTAGTGTAGGTGTAGTTTGACGGGGGCCAGGAGGGCTTTATTGTATCAATTAGATGTGTTTTTTGTTTTTCGTTTTGTTTAGTCCAACTGCGTCTGGAGTTTCGTCTCATATATGGAGTTTTCGTCTCGTTTATGGAATTTTTACTTTGTGGGTCTGTCTTCTATATGGAGTTTTTACTTTGTGTGATTCCAAGGGAGTGGTCCAGATTTGTTCTGGTTCCAGTAGTGTTAGTTGACACTACTGTGCTATATATTTTGCGCTATTTCACGCTACTGTGCGTTGCATTGCACTATATTTTTGCAACAACATCTAAACAAAAAAATATTCAAAAACTCATATTTTTTAGGGATCAAAGTCATATTTTCAAATGACAACTAAAATCTAAAATTTTTGATAATGATTACATATTAGAAGTTTGAAAATACAAAGTCCTAAGTTGAATAGTGCAATATTTATTGGTCTATTTCTGTTATATTATGTTATTTTTGGATATTTGACATTTAAATAAAGAATACAAAGTTCATATATAGTGGTTAGAATTAAGTTGTAGTTAAATAAAAAATAATAATTTAAATGCATATACTCAAAATTAAACTATGACTTACCTCATTATATTTTCGTTGTTTGTTTTTACTCTTTAGTATATTCGATTTATTATTTAAATATTTATATTATGATATTTGCATTAAATACTTGTCAGAAATAATTCTTAGATTTATTTTTTAATTCGTTCAAATATTATGATAATTTTTGGAATCAAACATCCAGTTTTATTATATGCAAATAAATATATAATATGCTAAGAAAAAAAATTATATCCAAATAGCTTACGCAACACGCAACGCTATTTACGCTACGGAGTATAAAGGGCAAAACGCGACACATTACGCTATACGCGTTTTAAAACACTGGTCATAAATACAAGAAAAGAAATTTCGAGGGTTCCTTTCAAATAAGGGTTAATTGCTAAATAAACCTCAACCTTTTTACGTTTGGCAATTTTATCCCCACCTTTGGATAATTGCATTATGATCTCGACCTCACTTTACTTATTGCAAGTCGAACCTTAAACCGATCGGACCTTCTAAAAATGTCAGCGTGTCTGGCAGCATAAGATTTTCAGCTTGCGTGGATATACAGAAATTGTTTTAATGTCAATTAAACTGAAATAAGAAAAGAAATTTGGAAACGATCAAAAAAAAAAAAAAAGAATTTGAATTCGTTTCGTTATGTTCCTATACAACTTTTCTGGGAAACTGCAACTCCCATTTTGGTCGCCGATTCACGCATCGCCCATCTCCAATCATCGATCTCCCGTCACGCCGCTGCAGGTGATTGAGGTCACTGTTCCTAGTCGCCGGGAATCGCGCAGCTAACCACCGCTACCGCTGGGTGGCAAACTGAAGGTTACTGGGCCGTCAACGGCCTCGTCGCGTGACCCTTTTTCTCGATTGATGTTCGTGCTTGGAGCCAAGCAGAGGTGGTTTTCCGTGCCTGTGGGCTTCTGAGAAAATCAAGGTTCGAGATCGGTCCGCCGTTAATGGCGGACAAACAGTAAAAAAAAAAAAAATCTGGGATTCCAGCGAGAAGCCGCCGGCCTGGGGCGGCGATGGCTTGCCGGAGATCGGAAGCCGCGGCAGACGTGTGGTGGCGGCGGGCAAGGGTTGAACTGATGGGAGAAAGGAAAATTAGGACAGGGACCTGATTTTGAAAATTTGACAAATGTGAAGGGTTGTTTTGCAATTTTCAGAAGTTTCAGTTAATTACAATTTGACCCCAGAGTTAAATCTGTAATTTCAAAATAGACCTGGAATCTGTTTCTAATTTTCAAAATTGGCCTGATGCCTATGTGTAATTTTCTCTATATCCTTGTAGCAAGCCGAAAATCCACGTAGATGTAAGTTGCCGGACACGCTGACGTTTTTAGACGGTCCGACCGATTTAAGGTTCGACTTGCAATAAGTAAAGTGAGGTTGAGATTATAATACAATTATTCAAAGGTTGAGATAAAATTGTCAAACGTAAAAAGGTTGAGATTTATTTAGCAATTAACCCTTAAATAATTAGTACTTGCTAAATGCAAGAATTTGGGAGGAAAATGTCAGATTAAATTTCCTGTTTTTGTTACTAGTGAGTTGGGAGATTGAAGAGTGGTTGAACTATCTAATGACTGAGTAACCCTTTATTTCTTTTCTTTTCGTGAAAAAAATAAATAATGTATGTTAGAATTTTAATTATAGTTGCTATAGTTGCCCAGTGAGCCTCTTTCTTGTTCCTTTTAGTTAGGTTTTCACTAAGCTATCGGCGACATCAAATTGACATATGTAATCATCACAATTAGTTTTCAACATCAGACAGTTGGCATGATAAAAAAAGTCCAATTTGAAAACGTTGAGGTATATAATTGCTAGGTTAATTAATGTATACGATATATATGCCAATTTCTATGTTGTGTAGCTTTGAATTACAGTTCTATTACATGTTCTTTTGTCAGAAGCAGTATAATGTTCATATTACTTATATGTACTCCACTTAATTAAACATAATTACAGGTCAAAAAATAATAAAAAAGTTCCATCTATTATTAAAATAATAAACTCATCTATCAAATCTATGTATTAGCTTTATCGTACTTGTAGTCTATGATTTGAACTTTAGGGGATGATTGTTTATGGATTCAACTAATTTTTTTTTTGTTTGTTTTTTAACTATAGTTAATTTTGAAAAAAAATAGTATAGTTAATTATTAGTGGATATATTAAAATAATATTTAAATAAAATAATTAAAGTTGATTTGATGTAAAGTAAGAGAAAAATGATTGGAAGTGATAGTTAGTTAAAATTATGTAAGTGGATGAATAGTGACTTTAAAGTTAATGTGATGTGTAAGAAAGATTGGTTGATATTATTTAATTATATTAATAATATGAGAGATAGTGAGATTGAGTTAAATTTGAGTTTTGATTGGTTTTTTTAATGTAGAAATTATAAACAATCGCCCCCTTAGTAATTGTAACGGATCAAAAATGGTTTTGATGGGATACCAACTTAAACTGAGTTATTTGAATAAAGTTAGTTGAATTGGAGAACTGAGTGAGATTTTGAGTTTGTTTTTAAATAATTTTTATAATGCAATAATTGAAGTTGGTGATGTAAAAGTAGGAGAGATGATTGGAAGTGATAAGTAGTTGAAAATATGTGACTGGATGAATAATGAATTAAAATTGTTGTAATGTATAAGGATGATTGGTTGATATTTGGTGTGTAAATGACCTCGACTGGCTTCTGCGACCTTTGATTCGCACTCGATCGATTTGATAGACCTGCAAAATAGCATCGGGAGTTGTTCCAGCATAGAGACTCCGACGATCAAGTCAGAATGTGTATGAAGATGATGAACAGTAACTGTATAGCTCGTAAGTATCATATATATACGAGTGTGTAGAGTCTTAATGGTCATACCTTACTCCTTTATATCGAAGTGCTACTTTGTTGCTCAAGACTATCCGATTGCCCAAGCTACTCGTCTATACTGCCCAAGTGCCCAAACTGCCCAATTCTGTTAGGTCACATGGTCCTATCCACATTTGATTTTTATCTTAATAATATTCTTTCTTATCTCTTAAGTAGTGTATTCACACTAGCCTATCTCATTAGATCGTCTAACTATACGACCATTTCAACTCCCCTTGAACAGGTTGCTTCGATCTTCAGTGTGTAAGATTTATCTCTTAGGTCACGCTATCGACCTGATTGCCTCTAGGTCGGGTTTCGATCAGGATAGCCAAGAGCCCTAGCTCCACCTATTGGTGAGCTCCTTTACATGTGAGGTCTGTGGTTTGTGTGGTTTGTTAATATAAAAAAGATGGCTTAAGGAGAATGAAGAAATCAAAAGTAAAATCAAAGTCGAGGCACATAATAGTTACGTTCTCCTTAGACAAAATTGCCCCTTAAAATACACACGGTTAATGGCAAATGACTCTAAGATACAAGGACTTTTGACTTGTATATAGTGTTATTTCAAATATACAAGCCTTTGACGAACAATAATATTGTTTGAAAGTCACAATGAAAAAAAAATCCAAGAACACAATTTTATGCTTTATGAGCTTTGAAAATGAAATGCAAGCTCTTTTTTTTTTTTTAAAAAAAAAAATTTTTTTGAATGATTTCATGTATGTGGGTATTTATAGATGTAGAAAAATACCTCCAAGAGTTAAGTGTCAAAAAACACCTTTTAAGACGTATTCGAACGAGAACAGACGCATCTAGGTGTTGGGATTTGTGAGGATCTCGTTATGTACAAGTCACGAATTCGATAGCAAACGTAAACCTATGTGC